AAACCTTCAGATTAAATCCCGCCGCCGTCCTCACCTCTCCATCCCGTCACCGATCAGCTCCTCTCCGTCTCCGTCCTCCTCCTCCTCCCCGGGCAGCGTCACATCCCCCAGCAGACCCTCAGACTCGTCCTCGAATGGGGGCAAGTCTCGTCCAGGGCTGGAGGTCATGTCTCCCCTCCTGGAGGCTCGGCTTGGGCTGGTGGCCATGTGGAACGACTCGGAGGAATCCTGTACAAAACAAGAATCAAAAAATGACAAGGTTATTTACATTCTGTGTTGGCTAACTAACTAGCTAGCGAAACTATCGGTACAGAGGGGGCGGGAAACATTGCCATGGTAACAGCCAGCTCCACCAATCAGAGACGTCGCTGTGACACTATGACCGTGAGTAGTGTAGTTCTTCTACCCGATATTGTGAATAAACCGTGTTGTTCTTAAAGATGGATATCAGACGAACTTGTGTCTCCTACAGGAACATAAACCATCGTTTCACACTCAGGTAGCTCGTGGTCAATCTACCTGTGATGGTTATGACATCATGACGAATAATCAAATCCACTATGGAGAAAATGAACGAGATTTTTACTTCCTGAAATCATACTGTCGATTATCTGACTGCTCGTCTTCAATGAAGTAGCCATGTGCTGTGATATAAAAAAAACAGAGGATGCATCTGACAGGTGAGCGAGATCGGTGAAGATGTACAGCCCTACCAGAGACAGACTTCAGGCCATGTGGTGAAAAACCATTAAAACCATTTATACAAGACAGAAACTTCCTGATGGTCAGAAATATTAAAATGAAGCTTAAAGATGAGATATTATGATGAATTAGTGCAGAATATTATGATGTATAAAACTGTGCAGACAGCAGGACCAGATGTTCAAACAAAGACACAACAGGTGTTCAGTGTTTTAAACTCTTTCTTCAGTTTGTTAGATTTTACTTTCACGATCTTAATCTGTTGAATATTTTACATTTAGTGACAAACAGCTCCAGAGCCACATGGCAGGACAGAAACAGTTCCAATACATCTGATTATTAATGATCATATAAACTTATTTAGTGCAAACATGACTGTTTTAGAAATATATCACGATTAATCATTAAAAAAAAGAGTTAAAATTAGTCTTTATTCCACTTTATTCTGATTCTGACTCTGCTCCTGTCCGTCATTGTTGTGTTTCTGACTGATGTCAAACTAATAAAAACAGTAAGAAACTTCAACTAAATGATAAAATAAACTTTATTTAACTTCTCCCTCCTTCAGCAGAAACATTAAACCCGAGAATCCGACATTTTATCGCGTTTTTTGGCTGTTTTCACTCACCGCCATTGTTGTGTTCTGTCTCTGTCCGCCGCTCGTGAAGAAACGTTCTTCTCCTTCCTGCCTCAACTCTCTTTTCCCGCGAAAGGACCACGTGACGCTGAAAGCCCGCGAAAAGTGATGAATATTCAAAACCCGTCAGTGACGTTATGCCTCTCGATTGGTCGGTTGTTTATAAGGAGGCGGGGTTTTAGGGGAAGCGTGTTTGATTTGATGAACAGCTGAGCTCGTTCACTTTCTGCGGCGGAGACATCGATGTTTTTATATTTTTAAACTTTTCGTGATAAAGAATATTTATAATTTTAATGTTTAATTATTTTGTTATAAAACTTTAAATCCAACTTGTAAAACAATGTGGCGGCTGAAACAAAGAGTGAAAGTGGTGAAATTACCACAAACTGGAGTCGACACAAGATGGAAAACAACTTTCAACATTTTATATTTTTTGACTTTTCGTGATAAAGAATATTTATAATTTTAATGTTTAATTATCTTGTTATAAAACTTTAAATCCAACTTTTCCATTGTCATCTGCTTATTATTAGCAGTCATGTGTCAAAACATTTATTTAATTCCGTTTTCAGATGATAACAAGTTCATTTCTGTGGTTTTCCAAAGATGTCGTTTCTTTTATCTGTTGATAACAATGCTGGTTTCCCCGAGATAACACGAGTTTCATCCCGTGAAAAGAAGCTGAATTAAATATCACGAGGAAACTTGTGATATTCTGCAGCAATAATGGCATTTCATGATAATGAGATCTCAACAAAACAACCTAATTGTTCCTATCACCACGGAAAAACCGAGTAAAATAGCTGTGTGTCCTCTTAGGGCTTCCGTACTTTATATTGAGAACCAATTCACTGTTTTATTTTGTATTTGTAAGTTAAAAACACATTCATATGTACATTAGAATGTTTTGCAGCTCCGTTTCTTAATCCCAAATATAAAGTTTTTTATAATTAATACTTTCTTTATGTAAATATAATAATGTTTCCCATACCGATAAAGCTCTTTTGATTGAACTGAGCGGTGCAGGTAGGAAAAACAAACGCACCTGCATGTCGCGTTCCTTCGTTGGCGCAGGGGGGCGGGGAATGTGACGTAGTATTTTTTTCCCGGGAAAATCTGCGACGCTTTCAACTCCGCTTGAGTTCATAACAACTGCCTTTGGAAAAAGTGTCACAGCATCTGAAGTAAACTCATCTTTTAAATTAAATAAAAACATTTGACAAGTTAAAGCTGTTTATTAGGAAATGAATGAATTAAAAAACAAATATTTTAAAACCACTTCATTGTAATCCTGGTTTCTGGACGGATTCTACGGAGCCCCAAAAAGTAAAAAAATAAAAACCTTGCTCTCATGAAAATGTATTTTTAAGTGAAGAATAAGAGCTAGGTGTCACGAATAATATAAATAGAAGTGACACAAATGTGTGTAACCTCCTGCAGCGTACGGATGTTTGTGTTTGTTCTGAACATCTGCAGCAATGTTTACGTTTAGCTTTGAGCGTGTATGGAGTTGGTATGCTCCAGTTTTCTTCAGTGTACGTTTTTCTGTTTACATGTTCGTAATGAGAATAAATTCGTTTTTTGTGTATACATGTCTGTGTGTGTTGATTAAGTGTAGTTGACGTCAGGTCCTGAACACTGAGAGAGGAAGTCAAGGAAGCAAAGGATAAAACATGAACGGGTCCAATTTTCTGAAGGCGATGAGTGTGTGTTAGTGAATTTATTTTTCAAAGATGTTTGTGCACACAAGATCCTTTTTTAAAAACCTTTTGGGACTTCAGAATCTCTGCAGGATTTCCTGTCAGGTCTTGTGTTTTAATAGAAGATATTTGTCGATGAAATCTTACAAACAGACAGAAATAATGAACACCTGAAGTTTAATCATCATGATGTAGAACATGTTCACTCATTCATTAAATATCACGTCAGCCCTTTCAAACCAAACACCTGAAATATGTACAGACATATCAAAAGAGAACAGAAGAGCTTCTTCTCCCCCACAAATAAAGATTTAAAAAATAACAGAAACAAAAACTCTCTGAAAAGTATTTAGTGCTGCAAATAAATAAATATCACAAATGGTTCAAATGGAAACCGTGTGAAAAAATCATGGATTAAGTTTGAAAATAAACTTAAACCGAATAAAGATGTCTGATAGTTCTTCTAGTCCCAGTTTTACACTTTAATGAACGTTTGGCTCTTTAATTCAGACATTAGTTTTTTTCGCTCAAATCTTCAGAGGAACAAAAACATTCATCTGTAGACTTCATATCATAACAAAAGGATTCATTAATCTTCATATGAGAGTCGCAACATTTGGGAGGCAGTTTAAGGCAAGAATTAAGAACGGAATAAAAACTTAAAGGAGCAATCTGTAACTGTGACCCCCTAGTGTTGAAGATGGGTACTGTAGTCCACATTCTAAACAGTAGAGAGCTTCAGTGTTTGCAGCCAGCTCTGCAGCTCTGCATCGGTCTGTAAACCTTTCTGTGTTCTAACCTCTCTCCATTTTTCGAAAGCATCTCCAATATTGATCCTAGTTTGAGCACGTTTCTGCTCGTGGAGCTTATTAGAAACATGCAGAGGCTTTTTAGGTCGGGTACAATCACTTCTATCTGAACCAGTTCTCTTGCTCGCTTCCATCGCTGCAACACCTGTTGGTTTGACCTGATAACTGCTCTCATATCTGGCAAACTGAGGGGCGTCCAAAACGGCCAAGAGAACAAAACATTCTCATATCCCTTACAGAAAGACATTTTTAATCAATTATGTATTTTAATATTTACTGTAAAGCAAAAAAAGGATGTTGAGGTTTCTTGTTAGGCTAAAGCTAAAACTGTATCCTGTTAGCATGTAGCATGGTTAGTGTTGAATCAGGACGTGTTATTGCTGCTTTTTGTGTCACATTGTTCATTGGCCGTCTTTGGGAAAAACATATGTCTCCAAATGGGTGACTGATATATCATGTTAAATTTGAATGTACATGCAGCAGCTTCTTAGCTTAGCATACATTATAGCATCAAACTGCTAGCTTGGCTCAGTCTAAATATTATAAATTCCATCGTTTGTTTTCCAGTCCAACCAAAAAGAAAGACGAGAAGGTGAAGACCATTTTTATGTTTCTACGGTAAATATGTAGCCCAGTAAGAAGCTAGTTATCTTAGCTTAGCATATAGACTGGAAACAGGAGAAACAGCTAGCCTGGCTCGGTCCAAACATTATAAATCATTAGTTTTCCAGTTGAAGTCAAAGTTTTGGGTAGTTATGCTCTTACAGCAGAAACAAAGATGAGAAGATTAAACCACTTTATGTTTCTATGTTAAATATGTAGCCCAGGAAGAAGCTAGTTAGCTTAGTTTAGCATAGAGAAAAACATGTAGTACCTAAAAGTATCAGAATTTTTCACTATCTTCCTCTCCACACATCCTGGACGTTAGTTTTTTAAACACATTCACTGTTGTCTCTGTCAGTGTTTGAGTGTTTTCAGGCACCTGAAGCTTCCACTCGTCAGGACGATGTCTGAGTTTATAAACATCATCTGAGATTAAACACAGATAATCTGGGATTCCTCCATTCAGGAGCAGACTGAAAACTCGGCAGGAAATGGTGAGACAAACAAGCATCTTTATGCTTCCATAAGAACCATAAAACATGACTTCCCTCTCAGTCCCGTCTTTTATAAATCAGCTTCAACACAAACATAAAACAACATGATGAAAGTGTGTGAGGGGGCGGAGCTTTCCAGTGAGCAAGGCCAACGTCTGCTAGAGAGTCTGTCAGGAGGAAAAAGGCTTCAAAAGAATCCCCGTAAAACGAGAGCACATGTCTGCGTCCCGGCTCTGCAGGTGTCTGTCGTGTTGTGACTCACGGTTTGCGTAAATCGTCGTATCGGATACGCACGTCCCGATGTGTCTCTGAAGGTCTTTGACCCTCCTCAGTCTGTGTTTGATCCCTTTGAGGATACATCAGACCTCCAGCTGTTTGTTTCTGCTCCGACTGTCAGACAGGTGTGTGTGTGTGTGTGTGTGTGTGTGTGTGTGTGTGTGTGTGTGTGTGGTAGAGCAGGCGTTTTATTTCAGGACCAGCGTGGCCTCTGAGCCGTCTTTCCTCTTCAGGTACAGTCCGTAGGTGAGATGATGCTCCCGCCTCAAGAAGGCGTAGAAATAATCCGACACCAGCAGAATCTGAAAAGAAGAAATATGAAAACACGGATGAATCTCTGAGAGATTAAAAAGACAAAATTTAAGTTATTTCATTAATAAAAATTATTTAATTAAAGGGGAATTATGGAACTTTATTTGTGGGCATCAGAAAGGGCGGGGTTTAACATGTTTATACTTCCTAGAGTTGTAGTCAAGACCACAATAACCGAGACATTTAGGTATCAAGACTGAGTAAAGACCAAGACAGGGCGAGACCATGACCATAACTATCTCTGAAAATCATCATCTTGTGTGCAGGGGCCGTGTCCCTCAGTTAGACCGTAACACCGGGAAGGTAGCTGCTGTAACCGGGCGATAAAAATCAAACTACAAATGAATTGAAGTGACATGTTCTTCTAGAAAGAGGAGTTTTCCTTCTAATCTCAGTGATGAAGTGGAGAAATAGCCGATCAGTGGTGGTCTTCATTTAAAATCCAGAACTGCCCAGTCTGAGATCGAGACCTTTACAAAGTGGTCTCCAGACCAAAACCAATTTTGAGTACTACACCAGTACTTCTTCCCTCTCCTTCTAAGACATGCAAACTAGATTCACAGGAGCAATATGTAACCATGACAACTTGTGGTTAAAATGGGTACTGCAGTCCAAATTCAAGTCTCGGCTCTGTTACTACCCCCACTCCATAACCCCTCAAACTAAGAACTACAGCACAGACTTTATTCTTCATTACTGCTCTCCTGTTAGCCTTTCCCTGAACCTGACAGCTGATCTTCACTATTTCAGACTTCAGAGCCTTTAATGCTCTCTTTACAATTACTCCAGTTTCTGTCTGGGTGTGGCATTTTATGTTCCCTCCTCTGCTGGACTCGTTCTTTCCTTCAGACGGTCAAATCCTGAACTATCATCATGTTCTCCCTGGTCCAGAATCCAGTCCACCTAGTTGTACCTGAGCCACGTTGAAGAGCAGCGTGATGGCGTAGTAGAAGTTGGAGTTGGCGCTGCCGGCGTAGATCCAGAGGTGCCAGAGGACGGGAAACAGAGCAGAGCACGCCAACAGGACGCAGGACACCAAGAAGATGTTCCTCAGGACTGAACAGGGACACAAACCAGGACACAGAGACGGTTTAGACTCAAAGCCAGACTCTCAGTGATGAAACATCCTGCAGGTGAAATCAGCACGACATCTTAAAGCTGGAATTTATATTATTAAAGGAGCAGTTGGTAACTCTGACCCCTAGTGTTTAAAATGGGTACTGCAGTCTAAATTCTAAACATTGTAGAGCGCTGTGGACACAGAAGCTTCAGTGTTTAGCCAGCTCTGCATCGGTCTGTAAACCTTTCTGCGTTCTAACCTCTCTCCATTTTTCAAAAGCATCTCCAATATTGATCCTAGTTTGAGCACGTTTCTGCTCGTGGAGCTTATTAGAAACATGCAGAGGCTTTTTAGGTCGGGTACAATCACTTCTATCTGAACTGGTTCTCTTGCCCGCTTCCATCGCTGCAACACCTGTTGACCTGATAACTGCTCTCATATCTGGCAAACCGAGGGGCGTCCAAAACGGCCGTGTGGGGTTGCCTTAAAACCGCCTATCTTCTCTGGTCCAAACAAATCCAGATCATTCAGGACCAGAATCTAAAGTTAGAAGGAGGACATACTGGCTTCTGCATTGTTGTCATGTGGTGTTTTTTAGTCTCTCACATCTGTGCAGGTGACTCCAGACAGGAAGGAAGGCCATGTAGAGTGCGATATCTCCCACTGTGGGGTATGACTTAAAGATGGAGATCACGGCTAACTGCATGAAGATCAGAAACACTGGGTGCTCCCTGAAACACACATGAAGATGTTAAAGGTAAGGTTTCATTCATTACAAAGACTGTAGCGAGTGTTGGAGGGGGGGGGGGGACTGACTTGAGTTTGACAGACAGCGGGATGGTGTAGAAGAAGACGTTGATCTGGAATACGCAGAGGAAGAACAGGCGGAAGTGTTCGAACATCTCGGCGAAGAAATACCAGAAGAGGCCGATGTTTGGGGTCAGATCGGGCACGGAGAGACTGAAGACGAGACCACAGAAAGGAAATATATTCAGTTAATATTCAAACGTTGGCGCTCTCAGATCCGTGAGCACGTCGGACACTGACATGAAGCCGTAGACAGACGGCAGGTAGTCCCACGAGCCGAGCAGGAAGAAGGAGAGGCAGACGATGACGGAGAGGCTGCCCAGGTACATGAAGCCGTACTGAGCCATGAACCACCAGAAACTCGCTCGCCGGAAGTTCACCGGGATGTACTGACGCTGGCGGGGGGAGAAGACGGAGAGGCGTGTGAGCAGAGTATAAAACAGAGGAACAGGTGGAGGTGAGTAATCAAAACCCTTCTTTACCTGCATGAGGTAGAGCAGAGCCGGAGCGCACAGAGTCAGAGGATAGATGGACTGATACGTCGCCAAAGACAGAAACACGGCGCTCAGTAAGACGTTTCCTGTGACACAGAAACACGTTCAGAAAGTAGATACAGCATGTGTTCAAAGACGCTAAAATTCATCTACAGCGTGTTATACGACATGCGGGGACAGGAGCCACAGGTCAGACTCGAACCAGGGTCAGCCGCTTTCAGGACCATGCCTCTGTACATGGAGCGCATGCACTAACCACTAGGCGTTTACCTTTTATCGTGGAGAGAATGAAGAGGGAGATGACGGCGTTGTTCAGGCCGCAGGTTGACTTGGCGACGCAGGACAGGATGGTGAATGGGTTCAACAGGTAGCTGAGAGAGAAGAAGAAGAAACAGGGGATGAAAACAACACAGACATGTAGCACACGTTTGCCACATTTGACCTCTTCTTCTTCTTTTAAAAGGCGCAGTGTTTAGATTCCACCACCAGGGGACTCTCAATGAATCAAACAATAACTAAAGATGATGTCGAGGCTGGTGGAGAATCATGGGAGTTCTCTCTGCTAAGCCCCCAACGGACAGGCCGACTTTTTGATCAAGCAGATGTCGCCCTTGAGCTCCAGCATGAAACCAAAACAAACTGCTGTTTGGCCACGCCTCCTCCATACTGGAGCCTCCGCCCTCCTACGGAGACACACCTCCAACCCCTCTCTACTCGCGTTCACATGAAGGAGTTTAGCGCAAACTACGGACAAAATCATCCTCGTCTCGAGCTGCAATCACCTGTGTCCTGCCTTGTTGTGTTAGCATGCTAATGTTAGCGCTCTTTAGTTAGCTCGTAGCTTCACATTGCATGTAAACTGACACAGAATGAGCGTGATCTAAAAACTCTTACTAACACCCAAATAATCAGTGAGTATGTTCTTCTTCTTCTCTCTAGTTCTTGACTAAAACAGCTTTTATACACAAGGGGAGGAGCCGGCCGTCCCGTCTATGTAAACATGGCTCTGACAACAACACAGCCAGCGGGACTCGAGCTTCTCCCCTCATTGTAAACAGTCATGACTCAGAGACACATTTACACAGGATAGACTGGATTTATGATTTATTTAAGTGGAACATGTCACACATTCTTCCTTTGAACTGTTGTGTGTGTAACTTACAACATGGCGACCTTCAGAGGGATGTAGTACATCTCTTTAGGAGTCCTGATGAGCTCCAGACAGTCGTGGGGGTAACGGTCCGCCTCCAGAGCAAACTTCTGCTTCCTGAACTGAAAACAGCAGAAACGAGTACGTCACAGGGGAAACTAAAGATTTAACGATTTAATACTCAGAAACAGGAAGTTCATCAGTAATCCTATTCCGTCTGTCGCGATGGAATAAACCTTTACTAACAGGACAACATGCGCCTTTAAAGCTGTTCTACCAGGGACAGGTCTGTGCATTTGATTTTCTCTGTTGTTGTTCTTATGCTGCATTCAGGTGGTGTCGGAAACATCGGGAAAACGAGTTTCCGACTTGTAAAATGAACATGAAAGCCCGCTCAAGTTGGAACTACAACTCAGAAACTCTGAAAAGAATGAGGTGCCCGACTTGACGTCAGAATCGTCAGTACATCGGGGGCATTTTTTTTTTTTTTATGTCAACACACTTTTTATTAATTCACCTTTAACGTTTACATTTCACAGATCTTCTTCTCTTTGCTGTTTTTACAACATTCAGACTTTCTGAACTGAAATCACAAGAACACTCTGAAGACCTCACCACTCTGAATCTTGGACCCCCGAGCAGCACCTGAACGCATCGTTTGCACGCACGCACGCACTAGTGTTTTCTTACCACTTGTTTGTTGTAGTCCATCACTGCCATGTAGAGCGCCACAGCAGTGATCACATCGGCTAACTGCAGACACACAGACAGAGATGGAGATGTTACAGAGACTGAAGATCCTCCACAGAATGAACTAACATGTCATGAGGCTCGTGCTCTGGTAGATTTATAGTTAAAGGAACAAGTGAGTAAGAAGCAACACACTCACCATGAACGTGATCTCTGCGTAGTCGACCACAAAGTGGAAAAGGTAAATGATGAGAGGAGTCTGACGAGAGACGGAAAGGGACGTTTGAGGTCGGAGAAAAAAATCAAACATGTTCAAACAATCAGGATGATGAATTCTTCATTTCAATAATCAGACGCTTTAATCAGAGAGTAAGAACATCACGAGCAAGGAGAGAGAGAGGAGGAGACAACGACAGGAAGTGAAAACAAACAGATTTAAGTCTGATCGACACACAGCTGCTGACAGGCAGTGACCAGAGGGGCTGACAGGAAGTGAGCAGAGGGGCTGACAGGAAGTGAGCAGAGACACTCATCATCATCTTCATCATGAAGGTCGTAGGTGTTCATAAAGAGCTGGGTCTTTAGCTTTTTCTTAAAGGTTCAAAGGGACTCTGCAGATCGAATGGAGTTTGGAAGTTGCTTCCACTAGTGTATTTTATCAAATACATGCAGTAACTGCAGCCGCCATCCCGTCTTAGTACATTCATATTGATATGTGTGTGTGCGTGTGTGTGTGTGTGTGTGTGTGTGTGTGTGTGTGTGTGTGTCTCACCTCGTGGAAAACATCTCCAGAGTATGGTGACACTCCGAGGTCGAGCAGGGCCAAACCTTCAACAACTGTAAACAAACAAACAAACAAACGTTGCTGAGGTTTTATTTTCCACCTTTGGTTTCTTTTACGATGTGTCTCTAAATCTAAAAAATGTCAGAACACGTTCTGCGTCGGGACGTGGATGTGACGTGCTGTACGTAAACATACGAGACATGAGGGTGGTCATAAAGGTCACAGTGAGTCCTGCACGCGGTCTGAACGACACAAACACATCGACCACATATCTGTTTGTCTAGGTTAGAGACGTCAACGTGATCTCTCTGAAGATGTATTTCTTTACATCCCGATCACCGAGCAGCTCCCTCGATGTGTCCTCACACAATCAGCTGAGAGTCTTTCTGATGATGTCACTTCCTCATTAACCATTCATGAAGGGCCCGCCTCTCACAGCCGGTTCATCCTGCACAGACTGAGCGCCTGAGCGTGTCACAGCATCCTAACCCCTTCCACATCGTCTTTCTCTTCTATTTGGACTAATTCTATCCACGGGTTCTGACTCCATCGCTGCTCGGGCAGCATGCCAGCTTTTCTCTGATCAATACATTGATTACCTCTGAACATCTGTGGCGCTCAGCAGAAACCCGTTAAGTGTTGAGTGTATTATCTACGACTGACAAGAACGCCCGTTCAGAGCGCACACACGTTCCAGGTACACACAAACATCAGCGGGCCAGCTTGGAGAGTTGCAGGTTTGTAGTGACCCCGTGTCTCTCCACCAATCAGGGGGCTGCTGTCTGCAGAGAGACGAGTCTCCCTCGTGTAAGTTTGAACTTCCTGAATAGCGCCCCCTGTTGCTTTTTCTACAACATTACCGTCTTCATTTACTGAGGTCAAGAGGTCAAGTTACACAGCGCGCCCTCTGCTGGATCAAAATGTGAACTACAACAGAACAACACAGCGGTCTGATCTATTTTGTAGAACAGATTGTAATAGAATGTAGAACAGAGTAAAGTAGATCTGAGCGTAGTAGATCTGAGTGTAGTAGAACATATATAGTAGATCTGAGTGTAGTAGATCTGAGTGTAGTAGAACATATATAGTAGATCTGAGTGTAGTAGAACAGATATAGTAGATACGAGTGTAGTAGAACATATATAGTAGATCTGAGTGTAGTAGAACATATATAGTAGATCTGAGTGTAGTAGATCTGAGTGTAATAGAACATATATAGTAGATCTGAGTGTAGTAGAACAGATATAGTAGATCTGAGTGTAGTAGAACAGATATAGTAGATCTGAGTGTAGTAGAACAGATATAGTAGATCGGAGTGTAGTAGATCGGAGTGTAGTAGATCTGAGTGTAGTAGAACATATATAGTAGATCTCAGTGTAGTAGAATGTAGAACAGATTGTAGTAGAATGTAGAACAGAGTAAAGTAGATCAGACCGGTGTGTTGTTCTGTTGCAGCCATCAACAGAACAATGAACCTCTTTTTTTTATCAACAACAATCAAAGCTGAATTAAATCTTCAGAGTGTAAACACCGGAGGGCTTTGATCCACCTTCATTAATCTGTAATTGTATTTTTATTGTAACGAGCACAGTTGTTGTAGCTAAACCGGTTTTTGACGTGATGACAGAGCCGAGGACAGGAAGCGACCGGAGCGGCGATGTAACGACAAACACGGAACAAAGAAGACCCGGATCCGGACTTACCTCTCTTCCAGGCCGTTAACGGAGATACCACTTCGACCCGCTCCGATATTAAGTCCGCTAGACTGGATCTGTACAGAGCCGCGCGGATCGTAACAGCTACAATCAAAAGTAGAGTCAAGGGAGCCGCCATCTTGACAAGGAAGCGCTCACCGCCCCGCACGGTGCATCATGGGAAACTGAGTCTTTTAAACAAAGGAACGAAACGGAAGGGAAAATATTATTATTTATGATTGTTATTATTTATGATATTAGAGTTGAAAATTAAAACATGATCAACGTCTGACTATTTTTTGTCGTTAGGCTTTTAGATTTTTTAGTACTGCATTTTAAAAAACGCCCATACAATAGTCTGTGAGCCTACATTTATTTGATTTTAATCATAGAGTGTAAATATAATCATAATATATTTTAATCTATTTTTATTATTTACCCCAGTGACAAACTGAAGTTCTTAACGTTTTTACTAAAAGGTACCAAGAACAGCCCGAGCACGGTTTCTGCCTGGAAGTCTTTCTGTGTTGGATCAAAACACAGAAAACAAAAGAGCTCTGTAAAGTTAGACACCGTGCATCATACTGTTTCCGCCATTTATACGGTCATTTGATTAAATAGATAAGTCTACCTTTTGAGTGATGCAGTTTAGGAATATGAAGCACAGGTTTGTAGAAATGAAGCTTTTTAACATCAATACATAAAAAAAAACTTTAATTAATCAGGGCCTGTTTAAATGTTACACACTCTCGTATTGCTCAGAGCACAAACTGCGCAGGGAAAAATATTCTGCATTCATATTATTCATGCAAATATATAATTTCCTAGTCTATGAGTTAATTATTTTCATCAAACATCAGTTCTTGTCATAAATATGAACTCTGAATTGTATTCCCCTGTAGTTCTCTTTATTGTCATTTCACACATACAAAGCACATAGAGTGATGCAACATAAAACAACAGAGAATTAATATTGAAGAGGTGGTATATGAGATTAAATGCAGTGACAAGAAGGTGACTATAAAAGATTCAATTAGTAAACAAAGTGAAGTGTATTGAAAAAACATGTTCAACCAGTAAAAACAATTTAAAGTGGCTAGAACAGGTAAAATGGCAAACTTAGTGTGACACCTAAAGTGGCAATGCAGGAGCTCTGGTGGCCCAGTGGTTAATGTGTGTGCCCCTCGTACGGAGGCTACAGTCCTCCAAGCGGGCGGCCTGTGTCCAAACTCAAATTGTGGCACCTTTCCCACACGTCGTTCCTGACTTTCTCTCTAATTTCTTATCCACTGTCCTATCTCTACAAAAAAAGCTCAAAATACATTTTAAACTGTCAGACGTCATGAGGTGGACAATAGAGTAAATATTGGATCATCTTTTCTTCGTTGTACCTCTGTAAAGATATTTTGGAACAGAATCCTTGAATGGTTCGTTGTAACATTTGGTGTGTTTATGCAGATCAGAGATGCTAACATTTTTGTGTAATAATATTTTGATTACAGGTCATTTTTAAATTCACATCTCCAAATTTAAAAATGACTTAAAAATATTTTCCAGTCTTTGAAAAAGCCTTGAGACTCTCGGAATCATTTGAGCTCTTCACTGATTAAAGCCCCCCAATTTAATTTAATTTGATATAACACATGTTTTAATCAGATTGTTGTTAATTCTTGATGCGGAATAATAAAAATAAAAGAAAACATTCCGGTGCTTTTACGATGAAGGTGCAGACCGGACGTGGTTGCTGTTGCTGCGCAACGTGACGTCAGTACGTTGAGACTTTCGTTTTCATTTCTACCGACTCGATGTTGTTGTCATAATCGTTAGATAAGCAAACATGGCGGGGTTGGAAGTATTGTACACCTGTTTCGGTGGCAGTGTCACCTGTCCACAGGACGCCGTG